TGTGTGCCTCATAGCGACTCTGAGGAGACAGCTGTAACTCTAGTAAACGAGATTGTGACCACTGGCACGAATCTGGGCTTGGAGATCAACGAGAAGGATGTGGTGGATCTAGTGGAGGACCACAGACAAGAATTCAACACAGAAGAACTTGTTGATTTGCAACGTGAACAGATGAAAGTTGTGCAGAATGAGTCCTCAGAAGAGGAGGAGGAAGAGGCGGCACATGTTTCAAGTGCTGAGATCAAATAAATTTTCAGCAAGTGGAGTGAAGTGCAGGTTTTCATTGAGAAACATCACCCTAACAAAACTGTGACCAGCTGAGCTGTGGACATTTTAAATGACAATGCGATGTCTCATTTTCGGAAAATTATCCAGCAAAGAAAAAGAGATATGTCTCTGGATCGTTATTTTGTGAAAACACGAGCCACCGAGCCAGCAGTCGAACCACTTCCCAGGATGCAAACGCGAGAAAAAAACACCAGAATTGCCTACGCAGTTGGCCGACATTCTTACATAATGGGACTCTCCTTCGAAGGAGTAGTCTTCTTCCTCCTCCTCTACCATCTTCCTGTGCCAGTAACTATCAACCGCAAAGGTAAAGTTATAGTACTGTATGTTTTATATGATATATTTTTGCCACATAAATCCATTAAAAAAATCAACAAACAATGTTTTTTAGGCGCGCAAGTGAATTAATTGTAATTACATTAATTTCAATGGGAAAAAACTGTTTCGACTCGCGAACGGAGACAAAGCACCATTTAGTTTCGTGACTCGGTGCCACTGTATTTGAAATATTTCCATTGCACATTAGAACCACTGGTGTAGAGTCATTTGCTGGTTTGTGAGTTTATTACATGTATTGCGTTGTGAAATAATTTCTCAGCTGTCCTATTTGCGTAACGTTTTTTATGCAGGCTCGACAAAATCAAAACGACTTTGAGGAGGCGATCACGGACTACGGAAAAGTGCTTTCGATTGAGCCGGAAAATAAAGCAGCGATGACGCAGATTATCGTTTGCAAGAGGAAATTGGCGTCTGAACATGAAAAGCAAAAGAAAATGTTCGGTAAGATCTTCCAAAAACTGGCCGAAAGCAATGAATTAGAAGACGCAAAGTCGGTGAGTCAACTTATTTTCTTCTCGATTGAGTTAGTTTATTTCCTTTTTCTTGTTTAGGATTCGGCTAGCAAGGACGCTGCGAAGCAGGAGGCTGCAACGAAATCAGAAACTGAACCATGTGCAAATGCAGTGAAGGAAGAGGTATAGTTTCCTTTCGGTTTTGTCGCGCTTGATTTACCGTAGTCTTTTATTAAAGGAAGCGACCGGTGGAGAAATGTCAACGCCAGACATCCAAATGGCAGAGGCGACGAAGGAAACGTGAAATGCACAAACGAAGTTTTGAGCCGTGTTTAATTACGCAGTGATAAAGATGCTATAAACAATTGTTCCTTTTGTAAGAGTCTTTTTTATGAAAATGGTACCATCCGATTGATGGCGGCCGTAAGGCAGCTAGCTGCGTGAACTGTCTTACACTTCTAGGTTTTGTAATGTTGGCATTGTGTCCAGTTATTTTTGAGTTATCCTTGCTTCATCGGTATTCACTTCCTAGTAGTGATTCTTAGGTGTCAAACCTATATTATCCTTTAACGAAATGCTCAGGTGTTATTTATCCAAGAAAAGCTACAGAAGTACCTAAGCCTAACACGATGTTATGGCAAATGCGATGATTAGCAAGCACTTCAGAAGATTAGTACGAAGATATTTTTAGCGTCTCTGCCGAAATTGTAAGTCATTTTGAAGAACTTTGCGCAACCGCAGTGAGCGCAATTGCCTTGTTTGCTGTAGCTTCAGATGCTTTAAACACGATTTTGAAAGGTTAGCTGCAATGGCTTGATAAAATTTGAGATCTTATGATTTGGTTATGCTCGACTGTCCATTAGATTTGTAGGATTTTATAGCCACAATTTCTGATCCATACGTATAGTTCATCCAATTTTCTTAGTGTGTCATAACTCCCAGTTTCTCCGCGACGTATTTACGAATAGAATAGCATCTAACTATTTCAATAAACCGGAAGGTCGGCTCTTGATAGAGTAATGCAAGAAGGCGTGGATTTTCTCTCTGAGGTTCAGTTTAACATTAGAGTTTTGGGGTTCTAATGGGTGACTTACCTTTTGTTCTGCAGTTCTCTGTATGGATAATATTGATACGTCTATAATTGTAGGATTTCTTCATAAACTTTTGTTTATGTCCGGTTAATTAGTATGTTGCGTTACACGTAGCATTAAACGTTTTCCTTAACCAAGCGATATGTTGAGAATTTTTATTAAACTCCTCGGTAAATGCAGAAGTATCACACTTATGATAAGAAACATGTTAGATACACTTCCCATGCTTGCAGACGAAAAATAAAGGACAAATTAAAAACTCGTTTATTATAACATTTAATGGTCAAGTTGGTGTTTGTACCCCTAGAGTAAATTTTAACAATATTGTATAAAGAACATAGATTCAGGTTTTGTCCAACTGAATATGCCTACCAGTCAGAAATTCAGAATCTTAAAATTTGTTTAACACTGGCTGTAGTAGGGAAATCTTGAAAGTAAACCTGTTCATGAATTTAAGAAAAGATTATGGCAACCCGTTCTGTTGTCGATGCTTCTATTAATGAGCTCCTTCAGCGAACCAAAGGTATTTCAAATTTCCAGTAAAGTGGGGGCTCGCGAGTAGCCCAGGTACATCGGAAAATTCACCAACCACAGAAAGCGTGGGACCAACGCTTATTTGAAGATTGATATAACAACTAACAAGATGCAAATGGAAAAACGGTCTGCAGAAGTTTAGACTCCTACAGACTGACTGTCTGGTGCAATGTCAGTGGCCAGCTTCTTTGGAATAAGCAAACAATATTTGATTTTGTACTGCTTCTTGTGTGATGCTCAGTGCTTAAAAGGACGAAACCGCTAAAGGTTTCAATGAGAAATTTGAATTTACTAATTTAAACTTTTCCAGATATAACGCTAGAAAAAGTCCTGAAAAGGTCCAACCAGTACGCTGAAGAAACTGCTTTACAAGTTTGCCATATATGCATAAAATGGTTCTTTACATGTAATCTTATTAAAGTATTTGGGATAAATCACAATAGTTATGAATCCAACGAATCAAATTTTAATAATCTGCAACTTGCAGAAATGGCCATCCGTTTTTTTTGCCAAGGAATCAGCATGTACTACCACCGTCTATTATTACGATTCATTCTTCGTTATGCGAGTTAAGCGATGTGATATAATGGCTTATTGTGACAGATTCTGTAATATGTGCTCGTCAATCCTGTTACAAAAAAAAATTTGAGGCATGTAAGAAGAGCTATAAGAAAATAGATCTTCATGGCATAGACAGTAACTAAAGAAATCAGAAATAATTGACGTTTTAACCATTTTAGTGCTGTTTTCTGCAACGAAAGGAAATACTCTCCAACGGCTACGAGAAAAGAGATCACGTGACCTGCTCTCCGTTTAAGACGTTCCTTTCTTTTAAACTTTGTGACTGCAGATACATATAGATAAATTCAAGGAAGCACGAGGACCGCATTCTTCTCTTTCTGAACTACTGTCCACTTATTTGTGTAACGCATTGCGCGGGATCTCTTGATAAAATGCTTTGTTTTTTGGTGAAATCTTTAGCTGTGAATTGAATAAATGAGGACTGTTTGTGAAATGTCCACAAAGACAACGTCTGAACTAGTTCTCATTGGTTAGTTTTGAAGAGGTGATAAAATTTCACCACGCATTTGCATCCAATAAAAATAGGCTTGAACGGCATAATCTTAACATTTAGCTATAGCTCTCATTGTTATCTACTGATCACTTAAGAGTTAAGTTCTGTTTTACATTAATGTATTTTGCGTGCACATTTGCAGTCATCTGCTTGGCTTCTTTCCAGGGAAAGACAACATATTTTTAAACTCGTTGGTAGTTTCTGGAACCTAATAGAATAATATTTATGCGACAATCAGTTGCGAAGTAATATGAACAAATCTGCTGGATATCCAACTACGAGAGCAGAATGGCCATACCAAACGATGTCATGAATCATTTAAAGGATTGCGAAATGGCGATTACACCTTCGATAGATTAATGTGTTCTAAAATCCACGAAGGTTTCGGCGTTTCAAATTTTCTCGCGACATCCTACTTTCTCTGGCAAAGTTTGAAGCTCATTATTTCCTTGGTTCGTCGTTTGCCGAGATCGAATTTTCAGCCGACTCTTTGGGCTATGCGCGATAGTTGATCATTCTATAATCATCATTAAAAAGTAT